GCTCATAAACAAAACTTTGCAATGATGGGCAAATGGCATATCCCCAGTAGCATCATGGGAGTCTTATGACAGATGGGGATCTATATTCTGGCCATTTGTTGCACTCCGGGAGCCCAATAAAATTTCTTCACCTCGCCCTTCTCTACATTGGTTACACCACTGGGTGCAGACATTTCCACTATCTTCACGTTCTGTTGGGTATTACATTTTAATGATGACTTATTTAATATCACAAAATGACACGTGGGCTTGTCTGGCCAACTTGATTTGGTAAGATAAAAATTCGAAATTATTTTGGACTTCATTCCCGGCCAACTTCTGAACATGTCATCCACATCTCAAGGTTGGATCATTCGTGGCCATTTCATTGATACAAACAGGCTCAGATTCATAAGTAATTTAGAGGTAGGTTTGTATATTTCCAAAGACCATGTATTTAGTGAATATTCCCTGATTGTCTGCCTTTGAATTGCCTTGCATTACAGTGAATATTTTTCTTAATTTATATGGCGATTACTGGGTGATCTCGTAGAGGTTCTTTTGAACTTTGCCGAGATGGGAAGTCAGTGTTAGAAGGTAAAATACCACAAGGTATGAACTGTATAAGATTGCCTCTTTTGCTGCAATAAGTCCTCTGTAAATCATGTATGAAACAAATCCAAGGTTATTGAAGATGTTGATGTTGTGACATGACCATGAGACGACTCATTATACCATCTATATAAGTGAATAATATCAAGTTGAAAAGCTCTATGCAATAAAACGTTGTGTTCCCGCCACATACTCTGTGGTTCTTTGGATTTTCTACTTTTCGACCACTAGAAAAAGTGAGTGTGCATCTCCTGTGTAACTAGAATAGAGGTTAGTGCTATGCCTATTTGAGTGAACTCCAAACTCTCAATGTGCTTGGATTAGCTAAATGCATTTTAAGTCATATTTCTCGAACTCATGGATAGGCAAAAGGAAGAAAATGTATGTTTTGTAGAACTAGAACCTTAGGGTTGGAAAGGCATCATAGATTGGAGTTGTAGATGGTGATCTTCCTTTGGCCATCCGTGGCCTTTAAGATATCTAAAATATTGTCCATGCCAAACAAATGTAAGTAAGCGTTAGATCCATGTTATAGTGAAACTTTCTTCCAGCATGTAAACGCAGAAAATAGACACAGTGAGATAGAAAGACTGCGGAAGATAATCAGAGAGAAAAATGGACTGTGGGATAGAAAACTGGACAGGAGGATACAAAAAATGGACAATGGATAAAAAAAAGGGTATGTACACACAGAAAAGGGACTGCACAAGCCTCCTAGTAATTGATCACACTCTACACCTCTCACTCAAACAAATTGTGAAATCTTCTAAATCCATAAACTTATATGACGGCTGTCCAGGGAAACAACAGGACTATAAAAAGCAGTCTTTATTGGCAACGTTTTGACTTACTAGGCATCGTTCTCAATGCTTAATACTGCTAGGGAGTTAAAATATTACCAACCCCCGTGTCTTCATAAGACTGCTTTGGATCATCCAGTTGTGTGTCCGGACATTTGTTTTAAATAGTTTTTTATTGACAGCACAATGTAGACACGGATATCAAACAAATTGCCGTAAAAGCGTATGGTCGCCTACGCAGAGGCGTATCTATTGAAACAGGTAAACTGATCAGGTGCAGGCATTTTAATTGTATAGGTGTGTACTCTGCGAACTTAATGACATGTTGTCTGGGCGCGTAGAACCTAGTGTGGTTTGGGTTTGTGTAGTTGTCTTTTGTCAGCTGGTTTGTGTGGTTGCCTCGTGTTAGCTGGTTTGTATAGTTGCTTTGTGTTAGCTGGTTTGGGTAATTGCCCTGTGTTAGCTGGTTTGTGTAGATGCTTTTTGTTAGGTGGTTTGTGAGATTGCCTCGTGGTAGCTGGTTTGTGTGGTTGCTGTGTGTTAGTCGGTTTTTGTTTTGGATATAGATATATATTTTTTTTTTCCTTTTTCCCTCTCCTCCCTTTTCTTCCTTGTGTGCACATTCTAAAGTCATACGTCAAATTGGCTAGCAATTAAGCAAGTGATTGCCCACGCAGGGGCTGAAGCATTGGTTTAACACTGCATACATGTTTGGTTGCCTGCGTAGAAGCAGGTTTGTCCTAGCCTGTGTTTTTTGTTCACTGATGATTGCTTTGTGTTTTATATTCTTATGTATTGTGTTGTCATTTTTAGGTCTATTATAGCGTTAAGTGAGTGTTTTATGTTAACTGGCGTGTGCTAATACTGCGTGTTTGCCAATTGGTAAAAGCAAATTGTCTCCTGTGCAGAGGCAAATTAATCAGCTTGCTAATTAGAGCCAGGTATTAAGCAATAATACAGCATCCTATAAACGAAATAGATACAAACTGAAAGGGAAGAGAAAAAAAACAAAAAAAAACCCAAAACATATAGATTTTGCGTGCAGCTGTGAAAACACAAATGCGGGCTATCCATAAAAACTCGCATTAAAATGGCATTAACTGAGAACATGAATATGGTAAACTTTATGCAAATCGAAGCTTAGTTGAGGCACTTCTCAAAAGTCCGAAATTGCACGTGGGCTTGTTTATAAGAATAGTCCCGAAATTGTCAGCGGTGCTTGTTGAGCTGAACTATAACAAGCTATCAGCATACCGGGTCGAGGTCCTTTAGGGCGCTGGTCCTCCATCTGTCCTCCCCCATGACTCGTTCCCCCGCGGAGCGCTCCGCGATGCCGTGGGCACTCGGGGTCTAGGCCAGTCCATGAGACCCCCCCACCAAAGATCCCAGCACCCGCTGTCCCCTGCACCTCCCCAGCATCGCTCGCGCTGCCAGGTAACACCTGGACCCACGAGTCTCACCCAGCACAGGCCACACACTTAGAGCCAGTGCACCTCCCCCCTCACGGCCACCGGTTTACCGGAGGGGTTTAGTGCCCTCTAGCCCCACAGGGCTCACTGCGCTAGGGACATCCTTCTCTGGGCCCCCCATAAACCCAGATGCATGGTCCAGTATTACCAGGGGGCCGGCCATCCGGGGTGTCCGTCCGTGGGCCGCCTGCCGTCAGGGCCCCTCGAGCCGCATACAGGGGCCTCCACATAAAGGTAGGCAGACCTCTCCATGCCTGTTTATATTCCGTCCGCCCTTATCTGCTGGCGGGCTGTTCGTGCATCGCCTCAATCGCCCCCCTCCGCCTCCGTGTGTCACATCCACAGGGAAGCCGCCGGAAGCAAGGTAGGCCAATCCGATCCGGTACCAGCGCTCGGGCCCAGGGTAGTTATCGGTCTTATTGTGCAAATAGTATGTGACCCTGTTTTTCCTTTTTTTTCCTTTTTCCCTCCTCCCGGGTGCAGTTGTCAGGCAGGCCACGTTTAGGCAGCCTTTGCCTGTATAGGAGATCAGCATGTTTCCCCGGTGGCTGTATCCAGTCCGGGGCGTGCAGCCTCCATGTGGCTGGGATTACCCCCACCGGCCGGGGGGGGGGGCGGAGCGGGGCCGCGTCTCTCGCCCGTGTGGGTCCTCATCGATGTTCATGGCGCCGGCATGCTTGCTCATCCCTACGGGCGGTTAGGTATCAATCCGCAGTAAGCTGCTGCCCATGTTCAGGCTTTGATATGACACGTAGGCCGAGTTCGTCTGACTGGGTGCTCCCGGTATATTTTTGGCCGTAGTCTGGCATCGTAGGAAGGTCAGGATGAATCCCGGTGGCATCCCGGTGAGCAATCCCGTTTTGGGGCAGATTATAACTGAATTTTATGCTGTTTTTCAGCTTTTGGCCCCGGAGCCACGCTGCTCTGCTGCCATTTAGCTTGGCGGCCCGGCCCCGCCCCCCTGTCCGGACATTTGTCATATACATTAGTGGATAAAAAAGAGTCAGGCGGATATAAAAAGGGACAATCAGATCAAAAAGGGACAGGTGGAAAGAAAAATGGATAAATGGGATTTAAAAGGGACATCGGGATAAAAAAAAAGGGGACATCGGGACAGAAAAGGGGACAGCAGTATAGAAGATGGTCAGTATGAGAGATAAGGACAGTGTGACAGGATAAAAAAAGAGGAGCCACAGGATAAAACAGGGAGGATTTGGGGTCTCATTAAGGGGGTTTGATTGACAGTCTTGTACTCCATATCTTATCAGTCAGATTGAGAGTGTTGAAGAGTAATCCCAGCATAAGGCTGCTATAGAGAGAGGCTATAGTAAGACATAGCTCCTGTAGTAAGAGGAGGGCTTGCTGCAGCCCTGTGTGTGTATGTACAAAGCTCCTGTGTGTGTCTCTGCTGAGCTTCTGTATGAATGTACAGAGCTCCTCTGTGTGTGTACAGAGCTCCTGTGTGCAGGTACAGAGCTCCGGTGCGTGTCTCTGCAGAGCTCCTGTGTGTAGGTACGGAGCTCCTGTGTGTGTATGTACAGAGCTCCTGTGTGTGTGTACAGAGCTCCTGTGTGTATGTACAGAGCTCCTGTGTGTGTATGTACAGAGCTCCTGTGTGTGTGTGTATGTACAGAGCTCCTGTGTGTGTGTGTGTGTGTGTACAGAGCTCCTGTGTGTGTATGTGTGTGTACAAAGCTCCTGTGTGTGTATATGTACAGAGCTCCTGTGTGTGTGTGTGTGTGTGTACAGAGCTCCTGTGTGTGTATGTGTGTGTACAGAGCTCCTGTGTGTGTATGTACAGTGCTCCTGTGTGTATGTACATAGCTCCTGTGTGTGTTTGTGTACAGAGCTCCTGTGTGTTTATGGGCAGAGCTCCTGTGTGTTTATGTGCAGAGCTCCTGTGTGTGTGTTTGTGTACAGAGCTCCTGTGTGTGTGTGTGTGTGTGTGTGTGTGTACAGAGCTCCTGTGTGTGTGTGTGTGTGTGTGCGTGTATGTACAGAGCTCCAGCTGATGACAGCCCTCCCGCAGTGCCCTGCCATTGGTCGCGGTAAGGATTCCCTGCATTGGGTGTAATAGAGGAGGGGGCTGGGTGGGGGTGTGGAGGGTCGCTGAGCACTCAGTATTCACATTGCCTGATGTTGGTACGGGGGGGCAGGATGATGACGACTGTGGATAATAATAAACGCATCGCTCCAGCAGGAAAGCTGATGGATCCCCTTGTAGAGCCATGGAGGAGCCCGATCCGGAGGTAGGTGGGCTGCCAGCAGTAGGTGGGATGCTGCACGAGGCAGATGGATGCTGGGGCTTGGTGGAGGCTGGGTACCAGGATGCTGAGGGATAATGAAGGCTTGGTCTAGGTGGATACTGGAGATAGGTGGATATTAGGGGTACCATGATGCTGGGGGTAGGTGGATATTATGGGTATCGTGATGCTGGGGGTAGGTGGATATTAGGGGTATCGTGATGCTGGGGGTAGGTGGATATTAGGGGTACCGTGATGCTGGGGGTAGGTGGATATTAGGGGTACCATGATGCTGGAGGTAGGTGGATATTAGGGGTACCAAGATGCTGGGGGTAGGTGGATATTATGGGTATCGTGATGCTGGGGGTAGGTGGATATTAGGGGTACCGTGATGCTGGGGGTAGGTGGATATTAGGGGTACCATGATGCTGGAGGTAGGTGGATATTAGGGGTACCATGATGCTGGGGGTAGGTGAATATTAGGGTAGTGATGCTTGGGGTAGGTGGATATTAGGAGTATTAGGAGTATCGTGATGCTGGGGTAGGTGGATACTAGGGGTACCATGATGCTGGAGGTAGGTGGATATTAGGGGTATTGTGATGCTGGGGGTAGGTGGATATGATGCTGGGGGTAGGTGGATATTAGGGGTACCATGATGCTGGAGGTAGGTGGATATTAGGGGTACCATGATGCTGGTGGTAGGTGGATATTAGGGGTATCGTGATGCTGGGGGTAGGTGGATATTAGTGGTATCGTGATGCTGTGGGTAGGTGGATATTAGGGATACCATTATGCTGGAGGTAGGTGGATATTAGGGGTATTGTGATGCTGGGGGTAGGTGGATATTAGGGGTACCGTGATGCTGGGGGTAGGTGGATATTAGGGGTATCGTGATGCTGGAGGTAGGTGGATATTAGGGGTACCGTGATGCTGGGGGTAGGTGGATATTAAGGGTATTGTGATGCTGGGGGTAGGTGGATATTAGGGGTACCGTGATGCTGGGGGTAGGTGGATATTTGGGGTATCATTATGCTGGGGGTAGGTGGATATTTGGGGTACCGTGATGCTGGGGGTAGGTGGATATTAGGGGTATCGTGATGCTGGGGGTAGGTGGATATTCGGGGTACCGTGATGCTGGGGGTAGGTGGATATTAGGGGAACCGTGATGCTGGAGGTAGGTGGATATTAGGGGTATCGTGATGCTGGAGGTAGGTGGATATTAGGGGTACCGTGATGCTGGGAGGTAGTGTGGATATTAGGGTATCGTGATGCTGGAGGTAGGTGGATAGGGGTATCATGATGCTGGAGGAGTTGGATATTAGGGGTATCGTGATGCTGGGGGTAGGTGGATATTAGGGGTACCGTGATGCTGGGGGTAGGTGGATATTAGGGATACCGTGATGCTGGTGGTAGGTGGATATTAGGGGTATCGTGATGCTGGAGGTAGGTGGATATTAGGGGTACCGTGATGCTGGGGGTAGGTGGATATTAGGGGTATCGTGATGCTGGGGGTAGGTGGATATTAGGGGTATCGTGATGCTGAGGGTAAGTGGATATTAGGGGTACCGTGATACAGGGTTAGGTGGATATTAGAGGTCTGGTTATTCTAGAGTAGGTGGATATTAGGGGTACCTTGATTCTAGGGGTAGATGTATGTTGGGAGTACCATGAATCTGGGGGGTAGGTGCATATTAGGGTTACCGTGATTCTGGGGGATAGTTGGATATTAGGGGCACTGTGATGCTGGGTGTAGATGGATATTAGGGACACTGTGATGATGGAGGGTATGTGGATGCTGGCAGTGGACTGGATTCTGATGTTAAATGGGCTTTTTAGGGTATGTGGGATTCATAAGAAGGTAGGTGCTGGGGCTGCTTATTGTAGATGGCATTCTTTGAGTGGGTGTGATACTTGGGGTTGGTGGATTGCTGTCGGTAGCTGATGTGGTGCTTGGGGTTGGTGGCATGCTGTCGGTAGCCAATGTGATGCTTGGGGTTGGTGGCATGCTGTCAGTAGCCGATGTGATGCTTGGGGTTGGTGGCATGCTGTCAGTAGCCGATGTGGTGCTTGGGGTTGGTGGCATGCTGTCAGTAGCTGATGTGATACTTGGGGTTTGTGGCATGTTGTCAGTAGGTGATGTGAAGCTTGGGGTTAGTGGCATGCTGTTGGTTAGTGATCTGTTGCTTGGGATTGGTAGCTTTCTCTAGGTAGATGATCTACTGCTTGCGTTTGGTGGCATGCTGTAGTTAGATGATGTGTGCTTGGGGTTGGTGGCATGCTGTAGTTAGACGGTGTCCTGCTTGGCATTGGTAGCATGCTGTAGTTAGATGATGTGCTGCTTGGGGTTGGTGGCATTTCTGTTAAATGGCATGCTGTCGGTAGGTGAGGTGCTGCCTGTAGGTGATCTGATGCTTGGGGTTGGTGGTCTGCTGCTTGGGATTGGTGGCTTGCTGTAGTTAGGTGATGTGCTGCTTGGGGTTGGTGGCTTGCTTTAGGTAGGTGATGTGATGCTTGGTGTTGGTGGCTTGCTGTCGGTTGGTGGTCTGCTGCTTAGGGTTGGTGGCATGCTGTGAGCAGGTGGTCTGCTGCATGGGGTTGGTGGCATGCTCTAGGTAGGTGTAGTGCTGCTTGGGGTTTGTGGTATTCGGTGGGTAGCTGATGTGCTGCCTGTATGTAGGAGTGTGGCTTAGATGAGCACAGTACATGTGATATTCCAGGGACAGCTGTGGGTTTATGGATGAAGGAGAATATATTAGCTATAATGAGAGCAGTGGCCTAGGTTGCTATCTGATGCCCTGACTGTTGAAACACCTAGTGTGGAAGAGGACATTCACATTTACTCCCACAATGATGGCACTCCTACTGTCAGTAGGTGATGTGCTGCTTGAAGTTGGTGGTATGCTGTTGGTTAGTGGTCTGCTGCTTTGTTTTGGGACTTCCTCTAGGTAGGTGAACTGCTGCTTGGGGTTGGTGGCATGCTGTAGTTAGGTGATGTGCTGCTTGGGGTTGGTGGCTTGCTGTCGGTTGGTGGTCTGCTGTTTGGGGTTGGTGGCTTGCTTTAGGTAGGTGATGTGATGCTTGGTGGTTGGTGGTCTGCTGCTTAGGGTTGGTGGCTTGCTCTAGGTAGGTGAGGTGCTGTTTGGAGATGGTGGCATGCTGTGGGCAGGTGGTCTGCTGCTTGGGGTTGGTGGTATTCGGTGGGTAGCTGATGTGCTGTCTGTATGTAGGAGTGTGGCTTAGATGAGCACAGTACATGTGATATTCCAGGAACAGCTGTGGGTTTATGGATGAAGGAGAATATATTAGCTATATGAGAGCAGTGGCCTAGGCTGTTATCAGATGCCCTGACTGTTGACATCACACCTAGTGTGGAAGAGGACATCCACATTTACTCCCACGATGATGGCTGAGTCTGTGTATCGTTGTGTAGTATTTTTATGTGCATTTTGGTTTTAGTAGATATTAGAACTTTTTAAAATAACAATGTAATTTTATAAAACATTAATGGTCTTGTCAAAGGGTTAATATTGGTGTTCTAGGCCTGAAAATGGGTCCTCGCTACCAGTCAGCACCATCGTTCAGTCCTTTCCTGCAGCTGGGCCCTGCCACGCATTAATGCTATTAGATTTTGTGGTGTCTCTAAATATATGACCACAGCAATCTTTGTACATCAAGTCTGTATTTTATTCCAGATTATAGCAGGACCTGGGTGTAGCAAGTCTGCATGAATCTAATCATTGCATGCTTTGTACAGCTGGTTATTCCAAGACTGATATGGCATCTGGTTAAAAAGAGATTCCTCAGCGTGCATTATAATTAGTGCAGTCCTGCATTTCGTAACAAGTGGTTGCAGTTTCGCATACAATAATATAGGGATTGCAATCTTGCACAGTGTAAGCTTATAGCAAGCAACAGAACAGACTGTTTTAAAATGCACTTTTTTCTATAACCAGAAAAAAATTTAAGCTTTATCTGTGTATGGGGAACCTGCATAAGATACCCGAGGCAGCTATATCATGTCTGCATTGCATCCGACAATAGCAGAGCTGCATTGTATGCCTATAGATAATTAGATATATAACCCACGATGAGCCCTGTAAGCCTGCACAATTCCAATCAGAGCATTTCTGCTTGTATGGCCTTGCTTATTGCAGGATCTGGACAGCGCTGACGAGGCTGAGGAGGGGTAGGATAGGGGGAAGGCCTACTGAAGAAGCAGGCTTTGGCACTGATGGAGGGGGAGGGTTGCAAGAGGGGGGTTCCTGCAGATCAGACAGAAGCCACTGATTTGTGCTGATGCTGAAGACAGGTAGTACGGGCTTCTTGTGATGATGCTACAAGGTGAGGAGATTTGGAGGACAGTATGGGCAGGTGATTCTGCTGATAGACCCTTTTTTTCTCCTCAAGAAAATACATTTTATCATTGCTATGTCTTCTCTGCTCGAGGAAGAATCTATATTTCATGGCTTCTCCAGATTGTGCTCATGGTTGTGCCTGCTCATTTTTTTTTAAACTGACTGCTGAAATGATGACTGTGTTTTGTTACAGCTATGCTTTTTTCCCCCTTCTCCTTTTTTCAGATCCACTAGCCGTGGGTCCATTTTGGAAACAGTGAGCCCTGTTGAACGTTACAGCTGCCTTCATGGACTTGCCTGAGAGTCCATCTCCTGTGCTAACTCCATGCAATAAGACATGATCCGGAAAACTTCAGTATTAAAATGAATTTGTCAGACAGAATGACAGATTTCGCAGACCAAAATCGCTATGATTATGTCAATAGCACCTCTGTGTCTCATGTTGGCAACGGGACCTTTAGAGATATTCAGGAGATTATCCACACAGCTACACTGGTCACCTGTACCTTTCTGTTGGTCATTATTTTCTGCCTGGGCTCATATGGAAATCTGGTGGTATTCTTGTCATTCTTTGACCCGGCTTTTCGGAAATTCAGGACCAACTTTGACTTTATGATCCTGAATCTATCCTTCTGTGACCTCTTTATTTGCTGCATATCTGCCCCAATGTTTGCCTTTGTCTTGTTTTTTGACTCTGGAAGTAATGTACCTGATGCATTTTGCTTCACTTTCCATCTCACTAGCTCTGGATTTATAATTATGTCTCTTAAGACAGTGGCCGTCATTGCGCTTCACCGGCTAAGGATGGTGCTAGGACAACAGCCCAATAGGACAGCATCTTTCCCTTGCACTTTAATGCTAACTGTCCTTTTGTGGACTACAAGCTTTACTCTAGCCACATTAGCCACGCTACGGACACGCAAGTCTCGGATATGCCTTCCCATGTACAGCCTGATTAGCGGTGAGGGCAAAGTTATCCTATACCTTTATGTCATTGACTTCACATTTTGCGTTGCAGTGGTGTCCGTGTCTTACATCATGATTGCTCAGGCACTAAGGAAAAATGCCCAGGTGAGAAAATGCCCAATCATCACAGTAGACACAACTAGACCACCAAATTTTATTGGCCCTGGTGTGGATGGGGTGCAGTGTTCAGTACCTGCTTTATATAGGAACCAGAATTACAACAAACTCCAGCATGTTCAGACTCATGCCTACACCAAAAAACTGAGCCAAATGCCAGTGCCAGCCAGCAGACTTCAGCTAGTCTCTGCGGTTAACCTCTCAACTGCAAAGGACTCCAAAGCGGTAGTAACGTGTGTCGTCATTGTACTATCTGTCCTTATTTGCTGCCTACCGCTAGGCATCTCCTTGGTCCAAGACGTTCTAACCAGCAACAGTAGCTTTATCTTGTACCAGTTTGAACTTTGTGGATTCACTCTGATATTTCTCAAATCTGGATTAAACCCTTTCATCTACTCACGGAACAGTGCCGGACTGAGGAGACGGGTCCTCTGGTGCATTCAGTATGTGGCTCTGGGCTTTCTCTGTTGCAAACAGAAGACCAGATTGCGTGCCATTGGTAAAGGAAGCTTGGAAGTCAACAGGAACAAGTCTTCTCACCACGAAACCAATTCAGCATATATGTTATCTCCAAAACCACAAAAAAAATTTGTGGATCAAGCTTGTGGACCAAGTCACTCGAAAGATAGCGTGCTAAGTCCCAAGGGATCGGCTGGACATCAACATTATGCACACAGCAGCTCAACTCCAATTAACACCCGTATAGAACCTTATTATAGCATCTACAACAGCAGCCCCTCTCAAGAACTCAGCACTCCCAATAGCCTACAACCGGTGAACTCTACATTTGGCTTTGCCAAATCATATATTGCCATGCATTACCACACCACCAATGACTTAATGCAAGACTGTGAGAGCACTTCAGCGAAGCAGATCCCAGTGCCATCTGTGTAACATTGACTAATATGCATCTTGTAAACATTTATTAAATGTGTTATATACTTGCCATAACAATGATTATAACATACACACACATACACGTATAATACATACATATAATGTATGTATACATATTTTTGCATATAACTTTATTAAACAATGTAACATATGTTAATAACAGGGAAAAAAGATTTTTTTAAAGCTTGCATTCTAAAATTGTAATATTGCATCATTGTTACATTTTGTACTTACATTTTAATCTAGGCACCGGACACTATGTTCAGTATGTTTTTTTTTTGTGATAGAGCATCTACGGGAAATGTAATTAACACTTTTTTTTTAGACTATTTTCACGACTATGAAACTGATACACATTATAATATAGAAGTTTCGGTGATTTACGAAGGGGTATTGTGTGTTGGCAGTACGGGACATATGTAATGGGGGTACATCGTAGGATTAGTATATAGAATACAAATTATTCTGAAATGCATAAACATCCAATCTCAGTTCTGACATAAAATGTGCTTAAAGGAACAGTATAGTCATCTAAATTACTTTAGCTGAATAAAGCAGTTTTAGTGTCTAGATCATTCCCCTGCAATTTCACTGCTCAATTCACTGTCATTTAGGAGTTAAATCACTTTGTTTCTGTTTATGCAGCCCTAGCCACACCTCCCCTGGCTTCGATTGACAGAGCCTGTATGAAAAAAAAACTGGTTTCACTTTCAAACAGATGTAATTTACCTTAAATAATTGTATTTCAAGCTCTAAATTGAACTTTAATCACATACAGGAGGCTCTTGTAGGGTCTAGCAAGCTATTCGCATAGCAGGGGATAAGAAAATCTTAATTAAACAGAACTTGCAATAAAGAAAGCCTAAATAGGGCTCTCTTTACAGGAAGTGTTTATGGAAGGCTGTGCAAGTCACATGCAGGGAGGTGTAACTAGGGTTCATAAACGAAGGGAGTTAACTCCTAAATGGCAGAGGATTGAGCAGTGAGGCTGCAGGGGCATGTTCTATATACCAAAACTGCTTCATTAAGCTAAAGTTGTTCAGGTGACTATAGTGTCCGTTTAAATAGAGATTATGTGTAATATAGACACTAAATACATTCAATAAATAGACTTTTTAAGTTATGTTTAGAGCATGGATAGGCAACCTTCGGCACTCCAGATGTTGTGGAGATGTACATCCCCATAATGCTTTTACACCCATAGTGCTGGCAAAGCATCATGGGATGTGTAGTCCAAAACATCTGCAGTGCTGAAGGTTGCCTATGCCTGGTTTAGAGTAAAACTGAAGCAAAAATATTGTTTAGAACTTAAACTGTTCCTTATTCACCGTGGTCCTATGCAATACATAGGTTATTGTTTAAATTTGTAGGATTGCAGGAGTTTTTCACCGCACCCCAAAAAAATAAATGTGTGCAGTATATGCAGCTAGGAAGCCCAAGTAGAAAACTTTCTGTGACTAACAGTGGGCTGTGTCTCCCAATTTTTCAAACTTGTTGCTTTGAATTCCATAACTACAGCTAAATAAGTACTGTTTGGTTATGTTAAAGTTTTGTCGTGGAGAGGATGGGTGAGCGTGGCTTATCACTGTCTCGTATAAATGGCTGCCATTTCGCCAAGCATTTCACGGTCATTTTTTATACGAAAGACAGATGTGGTATCAAACAATGCAAACCTTTCCATTATTTAAAAAAAAAATTGGCTATATTTTATGTTGGTCATTTTTAAATATTTTAAGCTGTATTTAAAATAAATATATATATATATATTGTCTCACTTGCACAGTTGGGGTGCTGGTAGATAATTAGTAATTATCAGATGGGATTGTTCTCATCCTGAGTGTGGCTATTTTCATGGATCCATGACCACTTAAAAACACTGAAGTGGTTATGGTGCTTGGAGTAGCCCTTTAAGTTTCATGGAGACTTATTTTCACATGACCACCAATCCTCTTTAGTCAATAAGATACCACCAGGTACCTGAATGGGGTCTACCTAAATGGAGCTTTATCCTTTTTCTGTGGAGGTTCATTGAACCATAACCACTTAAAAACACTGAAGTGGTTATGGTGCTTGGAGTAACCCTTTAAATTTCATGGAGAGTTAACATCACATGACCACCAATCCTCTTTAGTCATTAGGTGCCATGCAAAGTTTGAAAAATGGGATGCCATATTACAAATGGCTGCCTAAACACAGCAAATGTATCAGATCTTAAAGTTGCAGTCACATTAAATATTACTATGGCTTGATTAGATAACAGTATTATTAATCTATTGTGAATATTGTTTTACAGTAATTTTCTTTAAGGGGATTTCAGGTGACAGAGCCAATTTGAAGGCTTTGTCAGTTAAAATAAATTGTGTTGGGTTATCTTTTTTCTTTAAAAAGAATAAAAATTGAATAAAAGCAGCTGGACCTTAACACTTGGGCGTTTCAAGCGCTGCCATTTTAAACTGAATTTCTAGTAACGTTTTATTTGTTGCGCCATTAAATGTGCCACCTGTCATTGTGTCCCAACTCTGCTGAGATCTTCCTTTTCAAATTAGCTTAAAACAAGAGGTTCCTAATTTTTTATGGCCAGGGACTCAAATTACACAAAATTACACAAAGTAAGGTGGGTTAGCCAATATTCAGGGGCTTATTCACTAAATTGAGAAATGTTAGGAATTCAAAGTGACTTGGAGAATTTCTCTAGTTCAGCTACTTTGGCCTTAAATTTTAAAATTAATTTTGATTTCACTTTGATTTACCAACATTTAAAAAAAAAAATGTTAGCAAATAATTTTTCAAAATAATTTTTCAAAAATTCCCCAAAACACCTTTATTCAGCTCTCCCCAATAATATAGGGGTCTCTTTATCAGTGCCAGAAGGCATTGTTGCTATAGTAACCAATTAATGGCGAGCAGTTGCCTGGAAACCTTTGAATATAGTATGCCTGCTTAAATCAGTGGAGACCCATGGAAATAATATAGGGTTTATGAACTGCTGCTTTAAATACTTTGAGTTTCAGTATTAATAGTTCCACTTTGTACCCAAAAACCTGTGCCATAACAACTAAGGATCATAGTTAATGCTACTTACATACCGTAAGGACGGAGGGGAAGTAATAATGAAGAGAAGTGAAACGTGTTTATTTAGAAAAATTTATTTTTTTAAATTTATTTTTGAGGAGGGTGGAATTCATTTGTGACAGACATCGCATAGCCTACAGTGATGATCAGCAAATGTTTGATATAATTTCTGTGTGAATTACCCTTGTGTGGATGGACCATATATCATATTTACTTGAATCTAATGCGCATTCAAAATTTGAAACCTGGAAGCCGAAAATATTTTTTTGCTGGCGAATGCAATGCGCATTTGTACTGGAAGATACTACTATAGAACATATAAGTCGATAAGCGAGGACCGCCCTCTGACCGGGGGCAAAATTGGTATTCGCATTGCGACAAAGATGCAAAGTACAGCTTTACTGTACACAGAAACCAAGTCTCGCATCCCTGTTGCAGCGATGTGAATGCGAATATGCCTGTCGTATCTAATGCGCAGTTCGTACTCAAAACTAATGCTCAATCAAATCTAATGCGCATTCGAATTTTGGAGACTTCATTTTGCCACGGTGCATATTAGATTCAAGTAAATATTGTATTACCCTAAGTCCCTTCTTTACTGTTTTAAGGCTTTTTTATTTAATGTCCAAAATACACAATATTGTACATTTTAAAGCTGTAGCAAAGAATAATTGTTCTTTTGTAATATCATAATGGCGACAGTCTGTTTGCAGAAACGTCTCCAAGCACATGCCATCTTACACTAGAATCAAACACACAGCATTTATAATAGTCTACACAGTTTCATACAAGTTGATGTACTGTTATGTATCTTAGTTTGGCACATTTATTTAGCAGAAACTTTATTTAGTTGTTATAAGTAGAATATGCTCCTTTCAAAGGAAAGTAGATAACGCAAAGGGCTCATTTAAAATTATGTTTGTACCCTATATATATATATCACTAATTTATATCATGACCTAGGCCTAAATGTGGAGGCAGGCTTGGTAGTTGTGTAGCCAGATTAATATTTTCTTTTTATTTTTATTTTTTTGTCAAGTTTGTTAAAACTAATAAAATCTAAACACATTGATTTGACTATGGAGCTTTTTTTTGTTAATGTCAAGAACATCATGCAGTTTTTATGAGCCAAGGTCAAACGGACAGACAATTGTAGGTATAAATGCAAGTTCGTCGGGTTTAAAGCATTCACATGGTTATTTGCAATTACTAAAACAAAATTGTCTTCGTATTACTCTGCGTATAGTGTTTGGTCAAAAGCACAGTAATACTATTGTCATTAATTATTATTTACCATAAAACCCAACATGCTTTGACATTTTTGTTTAGTTTTGGTTTAGACGTTTTAAAAAAGCTCATGGGAGATACCAGGATTCATTTTTGCAACATGTAGTGAGATTGGAAATTTGATACTTATTCAGAATGCCAATGGTATGAGTTTAACATGGTGACCATGTTGAAATGAAGTTAATTTATTGCGCAGTCTGTTAATTTATATTTTCCTATCTCCTGCATGGTCAATAGCTTGCTAAGCCCTGCAGGAACCCTCTGTCTTTGATTAAAGGAATCTGCCCCCCGCTCCCGTTTTCTCTGAAAAGGCAGTGTTTACATGAAAATGCCTGCAGGGATATACTATACTTACCAGAACAACTACATGAAGCTATAGTTGTGCTGGTGACTATAGTGTCCCTTTAAACTCCAATTTGCAGAGGAGGAGATAAAAAGTAAGTTAACATCTGATTGAAAAGGAAACCATGTTTTATGCAGGCTGTGTGAGTCACAATAAGGGGAGGTGTGGCTAGGGCTGCATAAACAGAAACAAAAGTGATTTAACCTCTAAATGGCAGAGAATTGAGTAGTGAGACTTGAGATGCATGATGCGAGGCAAACAGGACAGCTGCCCTGGGCCCAGTTACTCCTGGGGGCACATGGCATCTGCACGTAAGCCCTGCTGCCCTCAACAATCTCTTTTTATCTGCAGTGCACCTGGGGGCCTACACACTAAGGAGACCCACTGGGTGGCCCATGCACTTAGAGCATGCTGGTAGGCATGTGTCAGCAGAGGCTCGGTCGGGGGCTGTGCTCCTTTAAAAGCGCAACCAGACCCCCTTGCTTTTCGGTAGCCTGGGAGGAAGTAACAGCCACATGTAACTTCCTCTCATAGAGGGAGGAGCAGGCAGTAAGGAGCGGGCTGGAGAGCCAGACCCTAGCTCCTAACAGCCTCAGGCACCAGACTCGACACTATGGAAGCCACCATCCAACAAAAGGTAGGATACTGGAGGGTGGGTTTACAAATGTTAATTTTGCATGCGTGTTAGTATGTTTGTCAGTATGTCTGTGGGTGTGTATGTGTCTGTGTGTCAGTATGCCTGACAGTGTATGCGTCTGTGTGTGTCAGTATGTCTGTGGGTGTGTCCGTGTATGCGTCTGTTTGTGTGTCAGTATTTCTGTCAGTGTGTGTGTCATGTGTCATGATAATCCCTTAAGGATGGAGCCAATTGTCCAACTTCTAAAACCAGAACAAAACGTTGCGCTGTGTGTTTGTTCCATCATAATTCAAAGGTTTCACTTTAAAGGACCACTCTAGGCACCCAGACCACTTCAGCTTAATGAAGTGGTCTGGGTGCCAGGTCCCTCTAGGATTAACCCTTTTTTTTATAAACATAGCAGTTTCAGAGAAACTGCTATGTTTATAAATGAGTTAATCCAGCCTCTAAAGCCTCTAGTGGCTGTCTCATTGACAGCCGCAAGAGGCGCTTGTGTGCTTCTCACTGTGAAAATCACAGTGAGAGCACGCCAGCGTCCATAGGAAAGCATTATGAATGCTTTCCTATGAGACTGGCTGAATGCGTGCGCAGCTACTGCCGCGCATGCGCATTCAGCCGAATAGGAGGATCAGAGGAGGAGGAGAGTTCCCCGCCCGGCGCTGGAAAAAAAGTAAGATTTAACCATTTCCTCTCCCCAGAGCCCGGCGGGAGGGGGTCTGTGATGGTGGGGACACACTCAGGGCACTATAGTGCCAGGAAAACGAGTATGTTTTCCTGGCACTATAGTGGTCCTTTAAGTGTATCCATTACATATTACATATTAGTTTTTAAATGATACAATGGCTTTTTAAAATTCTTTATTTATCAGGGGTTTTTTTTGACAGCACATTGTACATACAAAATAAATATCAGCCTTATTGATGGGGTAACGTTTCAACTGTGTAGAAGAGTAGTAAGGTGGAAGGATTTCTGTGGAAAGGGCGAATGGGTTTTGGTGATGATGGAGTAGATTATGTAGATTTGTCCTTTTTAAGTGGGACATTGTTGTTGAGGTGGGTCAAGCTTGCCTTTTTGGTGGGCATGTACAAGAAGCTTCTGAATTGAATGTACCTGAAGTGGAGTGGTTCTTGGCAGATCTGCAAATGTTATGATTTGTTCATCATGAAAGAAGTGGAAGAATGGAAGAGATCATTGTTTTTGATGTCCACTGATGACATGCCAGGGGTGAATTGTATTTTGCGCAATAGCGGTGTTATCGGGGATGGGACTGATATTAGAGCAAATCTAGACGTCATCTTGTCCCAGATTTTAATGGATGTGAGCAGAATGGGTGCCGTGGGGCAGTGGTGGTCTGGCCCGTTTAGGTAACCAAATATACAATATGGGAAAGTCTCTGCAGAAGATATTGTGTTCTAAGTTCTAAGTCGACCCATCTCTTAACCCCTAAAGGTGCGTGTAAATTTTGAATTTGCCCTAGCTGCACAGCAATGAAGTAATGGGTAAAATGGGGCAGACCTAAGCTTTCTGACTGGTTTCATTTTTATGAATGCTAGTCTTCCCAGCAAAGAGTTGGCTAACCCAGTACAGTTTTTCATATCTTCAGAGCTTTGTGTAATAGGAGTTGGTAATTGGGTGTGTAAGACAAGGGCTTTTTTTTTTTTATATATATATCCTACAACAGTGATGGCGAACCTATGGCACGCGTGCCACAGGTGGCACGCCGAGCCCCCTCTGTGGGCACGCGGCCATAGGTCGCCGGAGGGAGGGAGGGTGCGCTCCGCCGGTGCATCCATAAGGCGGCACAAGTGGCCGCCTTAGGTCGCACCGGCCCGGCGGGCGCAAAGCCGGAGTGACCGGCAGGAGGTGAGCGCATAGCGCTCCCTCCTGCCAGGCACTCTGTGTAGCGTGGCCGAGCGCACCGCGGTACAGGAACTTATGTTTCCTGAACCCGGGCGGACGGAAATGAAGTGCTCACTGAGAGAGCACTTCCTGTCCGCCGGGTACAGGAAACTGAGCTCCGCGGTGCGCTCGGCCACGCTACAAGGTAGGAGATCAAGGGAGGGGGACACCTGAGGGAGAGATGGGGAAGGGGAACCTGAGGCAGAGAGGGGGAGATGGGGAGATTGGGGAGAGATGGGGAAGGGGACGACCTGAGGGAGAGATGGGGAAGGGGACAACCTGAGAGAGGGGGAAGGGACAACCCGAGGGAGAGATGGGGGGAAGGGGACAACCTGAGGGAGAGATGGGAGGAAGGGACAAACCTGAGGGAGAGATGGGAGGAAGGACAACCTGAGGGGGGAGAGATGGGGGGAAACCTGAGGGAGAGATGGGGGAACTCTGAGGGAGATGGGGGGAACCTGAGGGAGAGATGGGGGGAACCTGAGGGAGAGATGGGGGGGAACTGAGGGAGAGATGGGGGGGAACTGAGGGAGAGAGATGGGGGGGGAACTGAGGGAGAGATATGGGGGGGGGAAACTGAGTGTGGGATGGGTGAAAAAAATGAGGGAGGGATGGGGGGGAAAGAAAACAGTGGGGGGGGGAGAGAGGGGACAACATACACACAGCACCCCTGCCCTACACATATCACCCCACACAAACACACACACATCACCCCACACACATCACCCCCACACACACACATCACCCCCACACACACACATCACCCCACACACACACACACACCACCCCACATCACCCCACACACACCACCCCACCCATCACCCCACACACAAACACATCACCCCACACACAAACACATACACTGTACCCCTCAATGCAGTGTGTGTATTTAGCAGTCTGTGTGTGTGTGTACTCGGCAGTCTGTGTGTGTGTGTGTATTTAGCAGACTGTGTACTCAGCAGTCTGTGTGTATTCAGCAGTCTGCTAAATACACATACAGACAGACTGCCGAGCACACACACAAACTGCTTAATACACACACAGATGTTAATTAGTTCGGACAACTGTATGAGTTGTTTTTTCCAAACTTAAACCTCAATATTCATGTTTAATTGCCGTTTTTGCACTTTGAGGGGAAAAAAAAAATTGGCATGTATTACGGTTTGGGCACTCAGGCTCAAAAAGGTTCGCCATCACTGTCCTACAATGTATAATAAAAACAACATTAAATATTAATATTAATAAAATGAAAAAAAACTAAACATTTACTTATAATCATTTTTATACACCAAGTGCAACTAAAGAAAAATAACTTAAAATAGATAATTCTTGAGTGTTAAATGCCTCATGTGTCTAGGATCTAAATTAATTTTTGGTGATTAAAGGGACACTCCAGGCACCCAGACCACTTCTGCCCATTGGAGTGGTCTGGGTGCCAACTCTCACTACCCTTAACCCTGCAAGTGTAATTATTGCAGTTTTTTTATAAACTGCAATACTTACCTTGCAGGGTTAACTCCACCTCTAGTAGGGCACTTCATGCTCTATAGCACAGAAAACCTGTGCTAGAGTGTCGCTGGACATCCTCACACTGTGTGAGGACCTCCAGCGTCGCTCAATTCCCCATAGGAAAGCATTTTCAATGCTTTCCTATGGGGAGCTCTAATGCGCATGCACGGAATGCGCATTAGGTCTCCCTGGCCGGCGGGGAGCAGAAACCACCGCCTAGGGACATCGGCGGGGTCTCAGGTAAGTGACCTGAAGGGGTTTTCACCCCTTCAGCAACCAGGGATAGGGGGTGGGAGGGAGAGGGGACCTGCAGTGCCAGTGTTTT